TAATCCTTTACATTTTATTTGTTTGTGTGAATTGACTTGCTGAATGTAGGAATAATATATTTTTATTTTTTTGCCACAGTTACTCACTCGCTGAAATATTTCTACACGGCATCATCTGGAATAAAAAACTTCCCAGAGTTTGTGACTGTTGGGATGGTGGATGGAGTGCCATTCTCCTACTATGACAGTGTCATTAGAAAGGAGATTCCCAAGCAGGACTGGATGGCCAAGAATGAAGGTCCTGAGTACTGGGAGAGAAACACTCAGAAATCCATTGGTTCTGAGCAAACCTTCAAAGCCAACATTGGTATTGCTAAGGAGCGCTTCAACCAGACTGGAGGTGAGTTACACACAATGTTACTGAAGCTTATAGCAATAAGCATAAAACTTTTCTCTCTCTCTCTACTTAAACTTTTTTAAGCATTTGTTTGATGCTACATTTCAAAATTATTTTAACAATTATTTTTTAAGCATAATAAAAAAGAACAGACAGAGCAAATGAAAATTAAATTATTTTAACTTTTGTTTTAAATATAAATTATCTAATTATTATTTCACTAATAAATTACTGAATGAGAGTCAATAAGTTAATTAAAATACACTGTTAAGTATTGTTAGTAAAGTATTGCTTTTGTCTTTTTAAACTTTTTAGAATTTAATCTTGTTGAAGCAAATAAATAAAAAAACATCACTATTTTCAAAGTCACTGACGTTTACAATCTGCTGCATTTAGATAATTTTTTCAAAATCTAAATAAAAGTTACAGATGGCAGCTTAAAGCAGCTCAGACTGTCAGACTGATCACTAACATGTTTTATTTGATCAGATTTCCTCTGATCAGCAGGAAAACCTTCATGTTCATCAGCTGGTTCTGATTGAACTGCTTTCTAGAGAAGGAGCTGCTGGGTCAGAGAAAGTTTGATGTTTCCTTCATTTAATTTAAACTCTGATAAAAACTAGAAATAGTAAAAATCTTCCAGGTCTTCTAATGTTTCAGACACTTTTGGATTGTTCACATTTTACTGAATAAAAAATCTGAGGTACTTTCTGCTGAAGGCCTCACAGCATCTTCATCCTGGCTTCCTGACTGACTGACATTATTTGGACATTTTTCACTTTAAAATGCAACAACTAAATTTTATTAGCTGGAATGTTAAAGGGTCTTGGTTCACATAAAAAATCATGTTGATCTAAAAACATCTTAAACCATCTCTTGAAAAGAAACAAAATCTAATTATACAGAAATCTAATCATCAGAGATAATTAAACAATATGTGTGTGAATTTGGCCTCAGTGATCGCTGGAGATGATTACATCCCGTCTCCAAAGAATTTACTTTTTTCTCTCCTTTCCATCATTCACAGATGGATATGTTTCTAATAAGCAATTCGCTAATGGGAAACATAACAAAAACTAATAAACACTCGATTGTGATCACTGATCATGTTCCTATATCTATCTCTCTGATTGTAGAAAAACAATCCCAAGTCTTTTAGTAAATGGCGCCTAATCTATCACTACTGGAAGAGCAAGAATTTGACAAGTATCTGAAAAAGGAACGGGCGTCCTTCCTGGAGATAAACGAGTCACGAAATACTGCGACGTCATTGATATGGAAACAGGGAAAAGCTGCATTAAGAGGCAGAATCACAGCATCTGGAGTCCATAAGAAAACGGAGGAGAGAGAAAAACTCAGCTGGAGACAGAAATCGAGAATTTAGAGGAAATAAGCATTTTAACAGAACAAGCTGAAGACAAAACACGTCAGCTAAGATATGAACTAAATACGCTTGTAAACAAGGGAGCACATTTTTCATTACGGAAACTTAAACAGGATCATTTTCACTGTAGTAATAAATCTGGTGAATATTTGGCCAATCAGCTGAAGTAGAACAAAGAGAAAAATATTATTTCTGTTACTAAAGATTCAGCAGGGAAAGCGACCAGCTGCTGGAAGAAATAAATGATGTTCCTCGAGATTTTTATACCAAACTGTATTCTGAAGAAAATAATCCTTCCCAAGAAGAAATTAACTCTTTTTTAAACAATATCAATCTACCGAATTTGACAGATGAACAGATTGGTTTGCTTGAAGCTCCATTAACAGGAAAATAATCAAACAATGCAGTTAACAATAAAGCACCAGGACCGGACGGTTTTCCAGCTGATTTCCATAAACATTTTAGGGATATGCTTAATCCGACATATCTAAAATTAATACAAGAAATAAAAGAAAATGGTATTATTCCTCAGAATTTAAATACAGCTGCTATTACAGTTCTTCTTAAACCTGCAAAGATCCTACAGTCGCCTCCAGCTGTCGCCTACTCTCATTAATAAATACAGATATGAAAATGATCACTGAGGCATTAAAAAGTCATTTCATCCTCAATTCATCCAGATCCAACTGGTTTTATTAAAAATAGACACTCCTCACCTAACATACGGAGATTGCTGAACTTACTGGCTTTAACAAATAAACAGGACTCAGCCATTGAAACTTTAGATGCTGAAAAGGCGTTTGATGAAGTGAATTGGTTATTTTTGTTTTCAGTATTAGGAAGGTTTAAATCTGGAGATTCTTTTATTAACTGGATTAAGTGATTCTGTACATCACCAGCAGCGACTGCTACTGCCAACAATATCATTTCAAAGAACTTCATCTTGCAGAGGCACAAGGCAGGTTGCCCACTTTCTCCATCCTTGTTTTCCATTTTCATTCAACCCCTTTCAGCAGCAATTCGTCAAAATTCTCGCATTAAAGGTTTTCCAATTAACGCAACAGAACATAAAATTTGTTTATATGCTGACGATATCTTATTACTATTGCAAGATCCATATTCTTCAATGACTGAAGCAATCAGAATGATTGATCTCTTCTCAAAAATATCTAATTACTCAATAAGTTGGAATAAATCTGCAGTTCTTCCTTTAAATAGTTTAAAATGGGATGAGACAATCCAAACTATACCGATTCCTTTATGCACCACTCATATTACGTACCTTGGGATTAAATTATCTCCTAAATTGTCAGATTTGTTTAATCTTAATTTCACACCACTTCAAGAATCAATACAAAACAGCTTGAAACAATGGATCAATCTACCACTTTCACCTGCTGGTAGAACAGCGACTATTAAAATGAAAATACTTCCCCAAATTAATATTTTCTATGTTATCCATCCAACCAACTAAACAACGGTTTACATCTTTAGATGGTATAATCTCCAGATTTTATTGGAAAAACAAGCCGCCAAGAATAAAGCTATCAACTTTACAAAACTCAAAACAATATGGAGGGCCAGATGCACCAAATGTTTACTATTGTTATTTAGCCAATCAGCTGCACTACATAATTAAGTGGCCCCAAAACCAGCAACACAATGATTTAAATGAATTAGAACAATTATTATGTGGGAAAATGCAGCTGTGTGATTTACCATTCATTAGCCAAGCGATGAAGAAACATGGCTGCTTTAAATCACCAGCTACTAAAGCCACTCTCTCATCTGGGTGGAAATTCAATATTATCAACTCAAAAT